CTGGTATAAGTAACGCTACTGTTGTCACGTACGTAGGGTTTACCTCTTCTTAAATGAAACACCAAATCATAAATGGTACCGGTACTTGGATCCTGAACCCGTTTATGTTAAATGACTTCGGGAGACCTCTGAGACTGTCACTTTAATATATCCCGATACAAATTTGTTACTTGATTTAAGCCTACGAAGTCGACCATTCGTATTTCTATGGTCTACTTAAAGTCCACAAGGAAAACCTTGGGTAAAGACTCATAATCTCCTCACGTAACTAGCTCATCATGACGTCTTGCAGTGCTGTATCAGAGCCTGACGTTAGCAACCACGTCTTAGAAACCGCCCTGAGTACGGTTTATATAAGAAAGGTCTTGTCAAAGAGCCACCCATATCCGTCTGCCTCGCGCATGTCGTCACTCGATGTTAATCCGGAGGGTCCGGCACTCGCTGCAGGAGCCTACTCACGCGGCCACTCAGTCTCGGGCGCAGAGTGGACGCGTTAAGACGTTCCTCTTCTTCCGTTATAAATGTATATATATATATATATATATATATATATATATATATATATATATATATATATATATATATATATATATATATATATATATATTCATATATATATTTATATATGTACATATATGTATGTATATATATATATATTCCCTGCCGCGAGAGTTGCACTCCGAGTGCTGGCTCGAGCCCGGTCTCACGGCGAAAAAACGACATATCGCCTTGACATCTCAAACGTAGGTGTTGTAGGGGAAGTCGGGGAAGTCGCCGTCGTGTCATAACTGGTAGCTCGGTGAACCACGGCTGACTAAGAAGGAGATCCAATCAGTTAAGGGTGGTACTGATTTACTTCGGCGATGTTATGCTTTTTGCGAAACTGGTATAAGTAACGCTACTGTTGTCACGTACGTAGGGTTTACCTCTTCTTAAATGAAACACCAAATCATAAATGGTACCGGTACTTGGATCCTGAACCCGTTTATGTTAAATGACTTCGGGAGACCTCTGAGACTGTCACTTTAATATATCCCGATACAAATTTGTTACTTGATTTAAGCCTACGAAGTCGACCATTCGTATTTCTATGGTCTACTTAAAGTCCACAAGGAAAACCTTGGGTAAAGACTCATAATCTCCTCACGTAACTAGCTCATCATGACGTCTTGCAGTGCTGTATCAGAGCCTGACGTTAGCAACCACGTCTTAGAAACCGCCCTGAGTACGGTTTATATAAGAAAGGTCTTGTCAAAGAGCCACCCATATCCGTCTGCCTCGCGCATGTCGTCACTCGATGTTAATCCGGAGGGTCCGGCACTCGCTGCAGGAGCCTACTCACGCGGCCAGTCAGTCTCGGGCGCAGAGTGGACGCGTTAAGACGTTCCTCTTCTTCCGTTATAAATACATACATATATATATATATATATATATATATATATATATATATATATATATATATATATATATATATATATATATTCATATATATATTTATATATGTACATATGTATATATATATGCATACTTACATACACACGCGCGCGCGCGCGTGCGAATTCAACAAATTGCAAGTAGAACAACGAAGGGAAGTACAGGGAAACACACGAATATGACGAAGGTCTTTTCGCATTTACTGCTACCTGGCGCTGAAGGTGCAGGAGATCCGCCTGGCCCACAACGACCTCAAACCGGTCAACGTGACCGTTGAGACGAGCGCCGACGGCCGTGAGGTCACGGCGCTGTAACGAGCACAAGGGATGTGAATTTAGAATGACCTAAAAAGTCGTCTAGAAACCACCCTTTGTATACCTCACTTGGTCATTATGCATATGTTACTACTCACGTATTCCGCAGCTTTAGACCTTAGTTATGTAAGATAAATAAATAAATAAAGATGATACTTTATTTTATTATTTTTGTATGAAGTTCTATACATTTCTATCTCATTTTTCAAAGATTATGAAATAGTGTAAAATATGGTAGTTTACCCAACGAAGTATGTTTTTTTTAAAATCCCCGCCATACCTTCTCTTCATTTAAATGATGCACTGTTATATTTCACTAGTGGTGTTATATTAAGGTTGTATAATTGATATTCTAATAAAGAAAACAATATGTATTATTTTTATTACTGGAAAGCTTCCTCTAAGTTCTGAACTTATGCATGTATAGATTAAGAACAACTATATACTTGTATTAAACGTGATCTGAGTAGACATTAAATTTTGAAGTATATACATGGCTAAATCCTAATATTATAACTATAATCCTAGAGAGAGAGATCAGAGAGGAGTGCCGTGTAACGGCCTGAAAGTGTTTAAATTGTCGTGAAATATCAGAGATAAGAAATGCCATTCAGCTGTAATTATGTCATTAATAAAATGCTATAAATCTGATTTACAGAGCAAAAGAAAAGTAACTATTTGAGATCAAACTGGAAGTTAATGATAAAGAGTATGTCTTCTTCACAGCTAGTGGCTGGCACGTGGCACTTGAACACTATCCCTATGTCTCTCTTACTATTATTAAGAATTTAAAAACCCATTCAAAGAGTAAGTGTCCAGAACATTTATAATGGAATGATATTAAAATGATGTTTAGTCAAGATTACTTTCATGTGTATATAACTACTTACATCATATATAATGACATAAATATTATACATAATTTGTTTGTTTGTAAGAAATATTTTTTGTTCCTGCAAGAATTTATTTTGTTATATTTGATAACGTTATATTGTTTTATCATTCCTAAACTAGAATAATTGTTTCTTTTCTAGGAATGTTTTTTCTTGTTTGTTTGTTTGTTTTTAATGAGGCTTCAGTTTTCACGTCCTTGGTGTTGGTGACAAGAATGAAAGAAGATATCATCTTTGGGAGTCCATGGAATTGATGAAGGAAAGATAAGAAGATATCTGAGAAAAAGAACAAGTGTAAAGAGTGACAGGTTGGACTACACTCGCTTGAACATTTTGTAGATTAATGTTTTTTTATTTGTAGAAGTGTAATGATTTATGAGTCTATGTATCAGTAAATATTGTAACCTCATTAAATGTTTTTGACATTACTCTTTTCTCAGTTACCTCTAAGGCTGAAGTTAGATCATTCCATCTATCATTCTTTTATAGTGTGGGTTCTAAATGTATAACCTAGAAAAAAAACTTTTGAAGAAACCACACTTTGTGATAAAAGATAGTGCCCCCTCTGGACAAAGTCCGAGTGGTTCCCAGAGCAAAGGGAATTAATAGTGTCGCGCCCGAGTTCTTTCGCAAGGGCACGGCCAGCGTCGAGTCACTGGCCCTATTGGCGCCCGCCCTTCCGGATGTGCCTGGGCGTCCTGGCCAACAATCCGGACGTCCCAGACCAGTAGTGGTGATGACGTCACGGCGCCGCTGAGCGATGTGGCCGGCTGTTGCTCGCTTGCTCTCTTGGGAATGCAAGCAGGCGATGGTTTTGTAGGACTTTGGTTCTGTAGTATCAAATATAGATGCATAGATTGATAAATGAAATAATGATAATAGAAGATAATGAAAAAATGAATAAGAAAAAAATATACATATAAGAAATGTGTGTGTTCCTGTGTGTTTCTCTGTGTGTGTGTTTGGGTATGTAAGTGCGTGTGTGTGTGTGTGCATGCATGCATGCGAACGTGTGTGCGAGAGACAACAAAGATACAAATGAAATAGATTCAGCACACACACACACACACACACACACACACACACACACACACACACACACACAAACACACACACAGCGCGCGAACAACAGTAATAATAAAGGTAATATCATTGATAATGAGAACAATAATAGGGAGTAGGAGGAGGATAATAATGATGATGATAATATTGTTAAGAATGAAGATGATAATATAGAGAATAATAATGATAACGATAATAATAATCATAAGCATAATAAAAAATAACACTACTACTACTATTAATAATAATAACAATGATAATAATAATACCAATAATAATGATCATATTTATAATTAACATTATTATCACTATTATAATAACTATAATAATATAAATAATGATAATGATTATCTTAATAACAAAAATAAGGATAAAAATAATAACAGTAATGATAATGATAATAATAAATCATAATAATAATAATAAGGATATTAATAAAAATAGTAATGATGGTACTGATAGAAAATTAAATAACAATCATAACAAAATAATAATAATAATGATAATAATGATGTACTAGTGTACGCTGCGCACTCGCCGTCTCTAATCGTCGTATTCTTAAAGAATATTTCGCCGTACTCCACGCTAAACCTTATGCTCAGTCATGCGCACATTATTGGAACTAAATGTGAATCACTTGAACGCGTTGTGCAATGACTTCCAAATGCAAATTATGTAAAGATTGTGCCATAAAGGTTTATTTTCATAGAAATTGAATAATTATAAATGTCACAATCTTAATTAAAAAAATTAAATAGGTTTGTTTTTTTTTCTCTTGTAAATGTATTTATGCAGTTTTTTTTTTTAATCAACATTGCTTCCCTATGAAAATCGACTTCAAATGTTGGCGATTGATGCCTGTATGTTGTATAGTTGTACTCCAGTTGTTAAGGTAAGAGAATTTTTCACGTAATAAAGCAGTAGCCCCTTATCATAAAGTCATGAAATTCAGATTAAGTATACTTAAAACGAGCATGCAATCAAAAAAATATAACTACATTAGCTTTATATTATTTTGCGATAATCCCGAATCGTTGATCAAGTTTCATAAAGCTTTGTGCATTTAAGATATACTGTTTACTGCATTCAATTACTATTGCCAATTTCTATTGTTTTACAATTAAATATTCTACTTTTCGGGCGAAAGTCATCATGCACCGTGGAATTAAGCAACTGCACCATGAAATTGAATAAATATTATAACCACTGACAAAATGACTGTAACATGTTTACTATTGAAACTTAATTCAATGTTTGGAATCATTCTTCGTCTTCTGCAAGACCTACAGTCGACCGCATGGATCCTTTCGAGGCAACGGCAGAGAGCGAATTTCTGTCGCGATTCAGGATGACGAAGGAAGTTGCACATGATCATATGCAGAAGATTCTAGCCCACTTACCTCAAACTCTCAATAACAGGTCTTTATGATCTGCCTATATTTTTTCATATTTCAATTTGATTTAATAAGTAATAACTTATAAACCACTACTATACACTAATATTGCCAAATCAAACCTATTTTATCCCAACCTAACCTGATTTAACCGAACTCTACGTAACCGGTTCCTTAGTACGTTTGCGGCGACTATCTATATAGAAGAAAAGTTTCCTAATTATGTGCTTAATCGATAGTTATCAATATATTTCAGTTTCGTGAATCATGTTATACCAGAAATTGATCATTATTTCATCCAACAGGTATTTCTGTACCCATTACCTGCAAGTGCGCATCACCTTAAGGTATATGGCCATTGGTAATCACCATCTGACAGTTCCAGACTGCTACAACGTTTTACAGTGTTATGTAAGCAGATGTAGTAGTCGTGTGACACGAATCACTGCCAGGATGAGTCATAACATCATCAAGATGCCTAGAACAAATGAAACACTCAGAGTGATGGGGGATTTCATGGCAATTGCTGGAATACCTGCTGTTGTTGGCTGCATTGACTGCATCCACATAACCATCAAAAAGCCACCTGGGGACAGATCTTAAATCTTCTGAAACAGGAAAGGAGCATTTTCCTTAAATATACAGGCAGTTTGTGGGCCACAACTAAATTTTTGATAGTGTTGCTAGATGGCCAGGTAGCGCTCACGACAGCAATATTTTCGATAAGAGCCGCCTGTATGTAGAAATGGAGGATGGAATCCATCGAAGTCACCTGCTAACACCACTAGCCAATCCTCAATCCCGTCAAGAGCAACGCTACAACAATTCCCACGCTACCACCAGAAACTGCCTCGAACGGGCTTTCGGTGTTATCAAGAGATTTGGTTGTTTGGGCAAGATGATGCAAACAAGTCTGGAAAACAAAAGTTACTCTCGTCGCTGCAGCCATTCTCCATAACCTCGCTGTCAGACAGAGGATGCCACTCCCCGATGATGTGCCATTTCAGTCAGAAGCAGAAGCCCCTGACGACCCAAATCCTCTACCTGATTACTATGCTGGTGCCCCCGTTAATGCACAGGGCAGTGTAGAACGTCGCCAGATTACTCAACATTACACTGTTCAGTATACCAGACAAGGCACTCACGCACATCTTACTGAGACGTATCAGAGACCACCTGCTGAGGCACTAAAGGCCGGAGCAATCGGGATTCACTCCTGGTAAGTCCACAATAGACCGCGACCTGGCGCTTCGAGTCATTGTATACAGGCACTGAGTGCTGTAAAGTGTGGTGGGGGCCTGTTGTGCTTCTTCCCTGTTAGTTCAGGTGTGAGGCAAGACTGTGTTCTTGCACCAACACTTTTCAACACTTGCTTGGATTGGATACTGGGTAGAGCTACTGTCCAAAGTCACTTTGGAGCAACTCTGGGCAATATCAAGGTTACAGACCTTGACTTTGCTAATGATGTTCCCATTCTATCAGAATCTCTGGAAACCCTAGTGGCGGCTCTTGATGCATTTAGCAATGAAGCGAAGCCCCCGGGGCTAGAGGTCTCCTAGACCAAGACGAAGATCCAAGATTTTGGAGGCCTACTAGGAGACTCTGTGCAGTCGGTATGTGCTTGCGGCGAAAGCATCGAAGTTACCAAGAATTTTATATACCTCGGCAGTGTAGTTCACGACTCTGGGCTGTCAGACCAGGAAGTCAGTAGAAGGATTGGCCTGGTAGCAGGGGCCATGAAATCTCTCGACAAGAGTATTTGGAGATGCCAGTACCTGTGCAGAAGGACCAAGCTACGTGTCTTCAAGGCCCTGATACTGCCAGTTTTACTATATGGTAGTGAAACCTGGATGCTATCTTGTGCCTTGGAATCTCATCTTGATGCCTTTTGTAACATCCTTAGACCGGATCATGGGGTACAGTTGGTGGGACCATGAGTCCAACCAACGGCTGCACCGTGAGACCGGTACAGGCCCAGTTACTTGCACAATCCATGATCGCCAACTCAGGCTATACGGCCACTTGGCTCGACTCCCGCAGGATGACCCTCCCACCAGGTTGTCTCTGTCCGAGACAACCCCAGGTGGAGGAGGCTTGTGGGACGACCAAGAAGGTCGTGGCTTGGGAAGATCTAGAGATGGGCCGCCATGAGAGACCCTCGCAGGTGGAAGCGAAGAGTGGATGCGGCTATGCGCCCCTGTTGGCGCTAGCTCCAAATTATACAGCAAGTTTTTGGTAGGCCTACAGTAATGTGAATACATCCTTGGCATCACAACCTTACATGAAAATAATGAAATATACTGAATGACAATGTTGTTCTCTACTGTGTAGGTCACTAAGTAAATATGCAAGTGCAGTGAATTTACCAGCAGAAAAAAACAATGAGTTATAGCTGCACACTTTGCACCTTTAAAATTTAGAGCACAAAATTACAACGTATGTACAATAACATTCACTTTCCGAAATCCATGAAGTAGGTAGGAGCTAGGTTATATTTGAGGAGTACTATGCTATTCGTAATACTGTAAGCTATTAAAAAAATAATTGGCCAATGGGTTAGGCTTAAGCTACGTTTTATTTAGAAGTGTAAGTCTCGGAGAGTTCCCAATTTCATTATAAGAAATGACCCATTCATTTACCAAATTACTGTCAACAATGTCAGGGTTAACTTACTGCTCTCCATGTGCTGCCACATCCTCTCTAGCTGCACAATAGTCCTCTAGGGCCCCATCCCTGCAGCATTGTATCTTTGATGTATGGCTTTGATGTACGATGCCTCGGCCTTTTTCTTCTTTACTTCTAGTTTAAACTTGGTCTTTTTGTACTCCAGCACAATTTTATATACTTCATACAGTTCGAGAAGCAGATTTTGTTCTTTGCTTGAAAAATACTGCAGTGTTTTACTTTCCATCGTGTTCGAAATAAGGGAGTACTCCCCTCCCCAATTCTCAAACCCCAGGCTTACAAATCCCATGGCGTGTCAATAATGTGGTATGCGTCACAATATGGAATCCACATGTAAAATACAACGAAAAGTGGAATGGCACAAAGCCTTTTTAAGCATACGGAATTTTGGAATCCACTTGTGGAGCGTGTCATTCGCACAAAAGTGGGATGCCATAATATTTGTTTAAGAAGATGACCGTAAAATGTACTAAGTGTAGATCAAGGAGACTTAAACACTTATGTGTCTTGTATTGTCTCTGGTTATCGTTTTCTGTGTCAGTGAATAAAAGAGACGTTTTTATCTTTTTATTCGTTTATTTACCAATTTATTTTTAGAGAATGTCCAACTTCTTACATTCTCAAATACTCGTGGGAATGTATTTACAAATACATATACATACACACACACATATATATATGTGTGTATGTATATATATATATATATATATATATATATATATATATATATATATATATATACATATGTGTGTGTGTGTGTGTGTGTGTAAGTATTTATGCATGTGTGTGTGTATATGTATATATATATATATATATATATATATATATATATATATATATATATATATATATATATTTGTATGTATGTGTATATATGTGTGTGTGTGTCTGTGTGTATATGTATGTATCTATATAGACATATATACATATATATACATATATACATATATATACATATATGTACATATATTTACTTATTACGTATGTGTATATATATATGGTATCAGAATCATCATTATTACCTTTTCATAATAAATACCATTACTGCGTTGATTCAGCAGATCCACCTAGATCATCATGATGTTTTGCTCAACAAATTATTTAATTATTAGAGATAGTTGACAGGATGGAGGTTCACAGAAAACAAAATAAGCCATGCAATATTTATTAAGAGAAAGTTGAACAAAAGGGTGGCTAAAACTGAGAAAAAAAAGACTAAAATTAAACAAAACTAGTGGGGATTAAAACTAAATAAAATAAAACACTGCAGAAAGCTAAAACGTAACTATATTCAACACTAAAATTGATTATAGTTAATAAAACACAAGTAGAATTTAAGAAAATGAAGATCAAACTGAACCTAACCGCAAATAAAACAGTTGAAAGCAAAAATTAAATAAAATGTAATTAGTAAAACACCTTAAAAAGTGAAAGTGAACTTAGATGAGCAAAAACAAAACTGAATATAGATAATAATACACGGGGGGAGAACTGAACTGAACTGAAACGGATCTTAAACGAAATAAAATAACATAGAAGAGAACAAAAGACTACGACAAATGAAATAAATGAACTTAAAAAAAACGACGGTCCAGCAAAAGAAAGTTCAAAATAACAAAAGAGAAAGCAAAGGATATATCATAAGCAAATCCTTACGTCCTTTGGCCTTAAACAAACGCTTCTTAACTTTTATAGCTCTTATTCATGATAAAAACAATCTATAAATTCTTTAAAATGCTTTGGTTTGCAGGACCTTATTATATTCAAATAAAAAAATAATGAAATAAAAGCAGAAAAACACAAGAAATCACAGAAACGGCAGTACGAAACGAAAATAGAAAACGTGAGTATATAAAATGCAAACCAAAAGGGCAAATAAAAACTATCCAACAAAACAAAAGAAAGGACTAGATTACATTTGTTTAAAATTATGGTCACCAAATAATTTCAAAACAGAAGAAAAAAGATCCTGAAAACAATTTCTCAAACAAGCTTGAAATATAGGAGACGCTACCAATTTTGGGGTTAACCTCCTTACCCTGAGCGCCACTTTGAATCACGTATTTGTGACTGGTATAACGATTACACAGTAACGAGTGTTGATAAATTCTCTATGGACATTACGAAAATGGTCATTGATAACTACAACACTTGGGTCTCTCCAAAGAAAACCTTCAAGAGCAACATCTCACAACGCTCCAGAGAACCTACGTGGGTTCACTATTAAGGGAACAAAAGCGAGTTCAGGAGCTTTTTGATATCTGCAAGCAGGGCAATACCCGTGACAACCTTATTCAATTTCTTAACGCTAACAAAAATTTACGTGAATTATAAATTCATTTCAGAAATGAACACTTTGAACAGTTCCTACAAAAGCATTAACAATAACACCTCAGTGTCTGAGATAAGAGCAAGTGAGGTCACCGATTGTTCTCTTTTGCATGTAACAATCGGTATCCTCACTCCCTTTTGCAAGTAACAATCGGTGATCTCACTCCCTTTGTAAGGAACATTTGGTGACCTCTCTCCCCTTGCAAGAAACAATTGGTGACCTCATTCCCTTTTGCAAGTAACTGTCGGTAACCTCATTCCCTCGATGAGGTCACCGATTGTTACTTGCAAAAGGAAGTGGGGTCACAGATTGTTTGTTGCAAAGAGAATGAGATCACCGATTGTTCCTTGCAAAAGCGAATGAGGGAGTGCAAGTAACAATCGGTGACCTTAATCCCTTATGCAAGGAGCAATCGGTGACTTCACTCCCTTTGTAAGTAAAATCGGGGCTCGTATATATATATATACACAGTATGCAATATCACCTCGTCTCACACCAGGAAGCTTAAAACAACACTGAATATTTCACCTCCCCCCTCTCCCATAGGCTTACGAATATTACCATATCTAAAAACTGACACACTCGA